ATTTGAGTCCCGTTTCTTGTTTTGGGGTTTTGTTGTTCTCCCGCCCTGGCGGGGGGTCGGGCTAGAAGATCTACTAGGTCCCTTCCGACCCTTAATCTATGAAACTATGAAACTATGGAGCTTGGAATTGTGCTTAACCACAGACTGTGGCTGAATGAACTGCTAAGAAAAAAGATGGGGAGCCTAAAAAGGAATAGCAGATAGTTGTGTTGGATTCTGAAGAGTTCCCTGAGAAAAAAAGGAAAGAGGCCTGACAGGAACTGCCTCTTTGCTTCTTCCCACTCAGCAGCTAGAATGAGGAGACAGGTCAGCATGGCTTCTTGTGCCAGCAATCAGGAGCTGATGACTTTCACTGAAGACCCTGCCTATATCAAGTGAGGACCAAGGGCCCATCAGCTCCTTTATGTATCACTTGTGGAGGATGACCTGAAGCAGAGAGAACACAGGCTGTAGGAACAAGAGCTCACTCTTTTCTTATGAAAGGGAGCTGGCCAGGGAGCTGAAGGATGGCCCCTGTCCCTAGAGAAGCTCTCTCTTCAGGGCCATCACAGCTACAAGCACAATCAGAACCCACAGGAGCTAGCTGTAGAGAAGGAAAATGGGAGGAGAAGTACCAAGAGGAGAGGATAAATGAAGCCTGCTGATGCTATTCACAGAGAAGAGAGAGGCAAATCTCCCCAAAGCAAATGTTGGCTGTGAAAAAGAACAATCACTTTGCATCTCAGTCCAGACACAAACTGAAGCTCAAAGACTTTGACTGCTTTCCCTCACCTTATTTGTAACCTTCTGCCTCTGTGCTGGCAGGCTTCAGTAAGGTGGTGGAAAGGGAAATGCCACAACAGTGGCTGTTCTTTCACTACAGGCATACCTCATTTTATTGCGCTTCGCTTTATTGCGCTTCACAGATATTGCGTTTTTTACAAATTGAGGCAAGACCCTCCACCAGCAAAAAGATTACGACTCGCTGAAGGCTCAGATGATGGTTAGCATTTTTTAGCAATAAAGTCTTTTTTAATTAAGGTATGTACATTGTTTTTTTAGACATAATGCTATTGCACACTTAATAGACTACAGTATAGTGTAAACATAACTTTTATATGCACTGGGAAACCAAAAAATTTGTGTAACTCGCTTTATTGCAGTGGTCTGGAACTGAACCCGCAATATCTCCGAGGTATGCCTGTATTTCCTGCTCAACTGGCAGCAGGAGGTACTTGAAGTTTAATAAGAGGGCTAATCTCATAGGATCTCCACCTGCTTTTGATAGAGATGAGAGGATCAGACAACTCCAAACTGCATTCAGTGCATATTAGTACTGAAGTCCAGACCTTCCAAAGTAATTTGCAAATGAGCAGGGATGCACTTTCCCCCAAAAAACAGATGTCTGTGAGTCTTACAATCAATCTTAGGAGTTGGCAGCATTGGATTTACTGCTGCAGTCTCTTAGCATGTCATACTACTGTGGGTCCAAGCCCATCTTTGCTTGTAAAACACGTTATAGAAATGCACAACAGATGAGATTATAGCTGCACCCCCCCTTCCCACCACATATACACCCACTCATTCATAAAACAGTGAAGTAACACAAGGTAAGTCAACCCCTGCTGTTTTGCTTCCAAATATTTTTGAAAAAACCCTCCTGCCAGACATTTGATAGAAGTGGTTATCATTTGGGGGCAAGTTAGCAACTTAGTCCTTCTTTAGTGCTGGCAATCATCATCTCTGCCATTAGGGTGAAGAGCCTGACAGGCCTACCACAGAGCACACCAGTTCTGTACTCTATCAGTGAAGCATTGGAGAAGTTGCAGATCTTTTTGTTCCTGATGCACAGCTGCATTAAACCTAGATCCCATGAACGAATGACCACAGTCTATCACTGCATTTTGTCCAGGTCGTCCATGAAGAGCTCTTATGAAGAAGAAAGTACACAAAGGAGGGAACTAGAAACTTTTGGGTCTCTGGTTTTAGCTCTGCCAGTGTATGGCTTAAAATCTCCTCATCTGTGTAATATTAACCTCCTCAACCCAGGAGCTGAGAGACCAAATTCAACATGTGTAAAATGTTCTGGAAGGTGAAATGTGCCATAGATACTAAAAAAAGAAAACCTGAAAAGACACACAATATTTTGTGTATTGAAAGATCCACTGTGCCTCAGAAGAACACAGATTTAAGGTGGGAAAAGAGAAGAAACTCAGAGTAAAGGGATGAAATCAAAAGGTTAAACATTAGGTAGCACTTTCTGATAGTGAGATCTACCAGGCCATGTGGTTGTGCCAAAGGAAATGGAATCCCTGTTACTTGTGATGCTTCAAATATGCAAGTAAACTGTTATGCATGTAGAAAAAACATCATGTTTGTTTTTATATGCATGCACATCCATGCATAAGCTGTGGTGGGATAGACTTGATGTGACCTAATGTCTCTTGGATTTCATAGACATTTGGGCTGGAAGGGATCCCAGAGGATCATTAAGTCCAGCCTCTTGCCCCAGGGGCAGGAAGTCAGCAGGGATCATAGGATCCCAGCAAGATAAGCATCCAAATGTGTCTTGAAGGCGTTCAAAGTGAGTGCTTGAACTGCCTCCGGCGGCAGTCTATTCCAAACCTTGGGGGCTTGGGCAGTAAAGAAGTTATTTCTTATGTCCAGCCTGAATTGGTTGTGG